TCGTGAATTAGCACAATAAATTGAAGAAGAAATAGTTCAATTTGGATAAGTACGAATTTCACATTTATTCAAATGAGTATGTCACAAGACAGAATAGAATTCAGTTCAGTTTTAAATTGTTTTAGGCAAGATTAAGATTTTGATTTGAACTAGTTCAGATTGAAATATTCAAGATATTTTACATTTGTATCAAAAAAACTGTTATGTTGATCGTGAAAATAAGAATTCTTTTGCACGTCAAAACAACTTGATAGAGAAATAAAAATATACTAAAAAAACAGGTTTTACATTGCGGATTGTTGTTACAGTGGCATTTTGCTATATTCTACTTTTAATCAAATATTTTTCGTGCTTGTTTGAATTTAATGCTAGAGCAGTCACTGATATCATTTCGGAGCTGGTGTAGATTTTCTAAATGATTTCCACCTCTGTTCAAACATTTGAAGTGTGACTTTATTGTCTGGTAAAACGGTGTTAGTTTAGCCGCTACCGATAGAGTGGTTACAGTCAAGTACCTAAAAATTTTCTAAATAGCAATCTACGATAATAAAAAAATGTTTCTTTACACTCACTACAGGTATGCTCTTCTTTCCAGGATGATTAATCTGACTGTCGGATTCGACAGAATTCTAATAAAAGAGTTCTTCGATCGAAGTTCTCATAAATTCCGATGGATTTATAATTAGCATGATCGAAATTGTTCTTAAAACTATTTGTAAATTATTTGATGACTTCTAGACCATTCTATCATTTTGAACAATTATGTTGTTCACAAGTATAGAACATTCGTATTTCCTTGTGAAAAAATTTAATGAAGTTTCTTGCCAGTTTTTTTTACATGGGTCGTCTCCAAATTTCAATTTGAACTAGGATTATTTAAAACTGGACTGAGTTCCATTCTGTCCTACGACACATTTATTGATTCTTATTAGTTTTTTCTTATCATAGATATCGATTTTGAAGCTGATGTTAAATGTATTCTTGAACATTCACTAGTTGCAAATCAAAAATCAGATAATGAAGTTGCAGGAGATACCCGATAACAAAAAAAAATATTTTTCTTGGGTGTGGGGTGTGGGTGTGGGGTGGGTGTGGGTGTGTGGGTGTGTGAGTGTGGGTGTGCATGTGGATATGGACAATAGAGAGAAGACTCCCACACCCACACCCACCCACACCCACACTCACATTCACACCCACCCACACCCCACACCCATCCACACCCACCCACACCCACACCCACACCCACCCCACACACCCACACCCACACCCACCCTAAGAAACAAATATATAAAAAAATTGAAAATGCCGTTATGGACCACACAATCATTACAAGCAATACGTCATCCTTTTCAATTAGCGTTCTTCAGGAAGAACTTCGCCTACCCAATCGATTTTTTGGACTGCATTGGGGTGTACCTGCACATACTGCACGCTCTGTCGAAATTATCTGTGGAGACGCTAGTGATCAGAACCAAGCCATGTGGTTGTATGAACTATCATATTTTTGGGGAAAAGAACCGATACTCTTACGGAAAGACATTCGAGGTTTCATTCAAAATCGTCTTATGTATGCCTTATTTCGAGAAGCTATGTATTTGGTCGAAAATGGATACGCTACTATGGAAGATGTCGATCGAGCATGTCGCAATGGTGTCGGTAGTTTTATCACTTTTGTCGGGTGTTTTCGATGGATGGATTTAACTGGCGTTCCAGCTTATCATGCTGTAATAAAAGATTTATTTCCAACGCTTTGCAACAGAACAGATGTACCAAAATTGATTGACGATGTCGTGAAATCAGGTGGACAAGGTATATCAAATGGTAACGGCATTTATCAATATTCACCGGAAGAAGCTCACCTGTGGCAACAGATACATCAAGAATTCAGTTACGATAATCTTCAGCTGGCACTCAAGTATCCAAATAATTTGGTCACAAAGAAACTAGAACTAAAAGACAAAGAAAAGTCGAATTCGGACATTGTGCCCTAGACCAAGGGGGGACAAACTGATTTCAATAGCTGAAATCAAGTTGAAATCATTTGAAATCACCTGAAATCACCTGAAATCACCTGAAATCACTTGAAATCATCTGAAATCACTTGAAATCACTTGAAATCACATGAAATCAATAGAAATCATTCATATTACATATATATATCTATGAACTTATAAGAATTTAGAATATGCTATAAAAGAAAAACGAAAGTATCACTCTGGTTTTACTTTTTTCGCATGCTGATGAAATATTTGAGTACCTAGAGCAAGAAAGTCATGCAGTATGAGTATAAATTGAGGCAATACTCAAGGTTTTTTGAAGAGCTCATGTACTTGAGCGCCTTGGTGTATCACTTAACATTCTCATTCGAGCCTTTGAGGTCTTGTAAAAATGCGTATAGATATTCTCACAGAAGAAATATTCTATAAGAAAACATCACAAGCTCCATACATAAATAAAAATTCCGTCTCCATTGCAAGCTAGACATAGTAATACTCCATCAAACCTGACTATTTATTACAACTATGAAAACGGTATATATGATGCATCAAACTGATTTTAAATGTATATCACACGTGGTTTTGTTTTCTTATTTTCTTTTCCTTCAGCTTCAGCTATACATTCAACATGATTTGGTTCATAATAAAAATTCATAACTTGAAAAATAAAGCTCTTTAAAGAATGAGAAGATATGCACGACTAATTAGATTCAAGTATCCTCAATGGATATGCCCCTTATTCCATTGAGCGGAAGAACTATTATGATCAGTGACGAACCCAAAGAGGGGATTGTGGGGATCAGTCCCCCTCCCCGAAAAAAAATTGTTGATATTAATTTCTTCTTATCTTTTTTTTGAACATCAGAGAAAGATTATTCTAATGTATATTTGTCTTTGAATTAACATTTTTGTAAATCAATTAGTTTACACTTTTTGTTCGTACAGACTCTTTGTTTGTAATTTGTAATTATTATTTTGAATAAAATATATTGTGTATGCATCAGAAATATATTCTTCTATATTGTGGTTCATATCTAATAAAAACATCTCTTCGAAAAAATACTGGAAAGAATATAGTAAAAAAGAGAAAGATATTAGTACGTATTTCCCATGTCGTGAGAATCACCGCGATTTTCGCGATTTTCTAAAAAATTGGCGTAAAATCGCGATTTATCGTATTTCTTTAAAAGATCGACGATTATATCAGATTTTATCGCGATTATGGGAGAAGAGCTGATTTTCAAAAATCATTGATAAATCATGACAATTGTTCATTCACCGTTTTGTTATGAACACACACGGATATATAAACAACGCCGTTCAATGCATAACAAATAAGTTTTCAAAATATACTTTTCTGATAAATTATTTCTTGGTTATTTTTAATCAAGGAAATGCCAATTCTGATCCATGATCTGGAGAGGACCACAGTGAAGCGGTCTGATAAGAATCGGACCAGCTCGAGATCGGACAGATCGCACGATCTGATCGGCTGGGATCTTGAGAACAAAAAAAAATTGAATTAAGTTCAAGAAAAAATCCAAATATGTGTCTCCAAAAGAACCAATGAAATGGTAGAAAATATCAGTAAACAGACGGTTAAATCTTGCATAAAATCACGATTTATCGTAAAAATCGCTGAAATAATCGGGAATAATCGACGATTCTATCGCGATTCAGCTCACGATTATCGTTTCGATGAATCGGGATCAATCGGCAATGTTTAGTCGATTCAAAGGACATGGGTTGTATCAAACAAAAGACATAAAGGTGATGATGATAAAAATAACTCGCAACTATCAACAACAAATAATTTCAACAACACAGACTGTAACAACAAGTCTAATATTATTAATAATGAGAACGTTGCAGCTGCTACATCTCCATTGTTTGTTGATCGAAATTCTAACAATACCATCAATGTTCCTGTTGACCATGATGATATTGGCTTATAAGTTTCGAATAATACAGCTAAAAACAATGTTTCATTATTAAATCGATTGTTGGTCAAACCATTCGCTCCATCATCAAATTACGTTTTCCCAAACGTCGAACAACATGGTAAAAAAAGATCGGTGTGTCAACACTCATGGTTAGCCAAATATACTTGGCTGTCTTATTCAAAAACCCATCAAGGTGTTTATTGCCGATATTGTGTCTTATTTTCAAGACAAGGAAATAGCCAACCGCTGGGTCAATTTATTACTAAACTATTACGATCATTAAAGAACGCGGGTGTGGGTGTGAGTGTGGGGTGTGGGTGTGAAAGGGTGTGGGTGAAGGTGTGAGTGTGGGTGTGGGTGTGGGTGTGGATGTGTGCGGGTGGGTGTGGGCGTGGGTGTTGATGGTAGAAGAACAGGACCACACTCACACCCACACCCACACCCACACCCACACCCCCCCCCCCACCCCCCCCCCCCCCCCCACCCCCACCCCCACACACACCCACACCCACCCACACCCACACCCACACTCACCCACACCCACACCCCACACCCACACACCCACACCCAATACCTTTCCATACTTGAATGAATGATACTTACAACAAGAGTCTTT